CCACCACCACCACCACCACCACCACCACCACCACCACCGTCGTCGGTATTGCCGGCTTTTTCGATACAAAGGTCGGCTGAAAAAGGCCTCTCCGAGTCCTGTTGTCGATCTTTTTGTCATTTTGGCCGCGCGCCTGGCTTTTAAGAGCGCGCGGTCCGCTCATTGTTCGCGAAGATGACGGGAAACGCGGTCCGGGCGACGCTTTAACGACGTTTTCGGCCCATTCGAGCGCAACTCTCGAACTTTCTCGCTTTAATCGCGGTGCTCACACGACTCGGCCGAACCACTCGAATCGGCCACCTCTTATCATTTGTGTCTAACGATTTAGTCGCGCGCAGCAGCGCTTCGCCTTTATAACGAGGAGAGGCTCTTGCGCAGAGCGCTCGTTATTCCGTGCGTTATCGATATGAATCTGGCGATTCTGTATTAGATCAGACCGATACGTCATGCTAAAGAAAAGCCGTTTGTTCATTATCCTTGTCTATCGCTCAAATACGTTCGTCGAGATTTTTTATTCGGACCTCGGCATCATTTAATTTCTCGCCGGTCTTTCATCACATAATTGGCAGGAAGTCTCTCTCTCTCCCTCTCGGACTGAATTTCTTCTTCCTACATTCGTAATAAAGAAGAAGGAAAAACAAAGAATAGAAGAAAAAAAAAAGAGCGTACAAATTGATAATAAATACCGAACGAACGAATAAATATTTATAAGCATGTTAATTCTCTGCCACTGATAATCAGCGAACTTAAACAAACGAAAAATTCCAGCCGACTTGTTCCGTCGCTTCATTGCTGTTGCGCCAAGGCTGAAATGATAAAAACCGGCTCCCAATTCGGCTTATTACCAATATCCCCGAAGGAACGACGAGCTCCTTTCATTATTGAAATACGGGCAACCGCAATGTTCATTGTATGGAGATAAAAGTTATGCGTAGACTCTCGCGCGTAACCCACAATACAGTCCGTTCTTCCGTAATATTTAAATTCAAAGAAAAGGACAAAAGAGAAAGAACGATCGGCCCAGCATATGACATATCTTTTAAGAATTCAGCTTTAACTCGGCGTTCCATATTCACATTCTCTTCTCTCTTCCCCTTATCTAATCCCTGCTGCTCCACTCCACTGCCTGTATAAATGGGCACTCTTACTCTCCACCACCACCACCATCCCTCCCCTTCCCTCCCCACCCCTCCCACCGCCTACTACTCCTCCATCCTTCCATGATGTGTGATGCATCATCTCGAGAGTTGACAAGCCGCGGGTTCCACTTTCAAGATCCATTATGGATGTGACTACCCGCGCCCTTTGTAATACGCGAAGACAACGTTCTCTCTCTCTCTCTCTCTCTCTCTATCTCTCTCTCTCTCTCTCTCTCTCCCTCTCTCCCTCTTCGATTTGAAGAAGAAAAAAAATAGATGGAAACGAACGATGGCCCGCTTTATTTCCGTGGCTAAGCATTTTCTCGATTATTCGTTGCCTCGGTTATTTCGTGAGAATGCAATTCTTGCGCAACTGCACTCCTCGCTCCAAGCTCCTGATTACAATGACAATCAAAGGTTAGATTTACGATAGTCCCAACATCAGTTCCAAGTGCTTTAAAGGTTGAACGGATCCGCTTAGTTATAACAGCGATAAATACATCGACCGTATTTTTAACGGACCTGATTTATCCATCGCATTATTTGTTACCAAATTTAGCAAACTCCAAAGCTTTCGAACGAATCGATCAACTATTTCGGTTGGCACTCGAGCTTCCACTCGAACAATTTTGAAGGGTTCATTAGCATCGTAAATGTGGAGGGATTTCTTTTCTCGATGCCCGATATCTCAGACACGCGCAAAGCGACCGCACAATGAAAACTTATAACTCTCCGGCAAGAATTAGACGTGCACGCGCACTTTGAAAAGTTAAGCATCCCGTCTCCGATGTAAGGGAGAAAACGAGTGGGAGGAGTGGAAGTCAACTGAAAAGCCTCTCGAAACATGCCTAATAATCGGCGTGTACTCCCGATCGAAAAAGCACGGGAGCAAGCGCCGAGGAAGATCGAAAAGAATTTGTACCCATCTTGTATCTTTCATTCAACTGTTACTACTACTCCCCGAGCTAATAGAGTACTGAGAAGAGGAAAAAAAGCGTACACTCACTCGCATACTAAAGCATATAAAAATCCCGCGTAACCCGAACGTTACCCGTATACACACGCGCGCGCGCGCGCACGCACACACACATAATGTGAAAATTGCCGAGCGACAAGAAGTAGTAGCTTAATGGAGCCAACCAGCCGGTTATAATTCGATCGGCTCGTCTTACCTGCATTGTCGGGCGTAGAACGAAAATTTTTCTAGACTAGCGTGGAAGATGGAACCGCCGTATGCAACGGCCCCTTTGTATTCCACGCGCCTCGGAAAATAAGCATACCTGGATCATCATTGTTGGGGCGCGCGTGCGCGCATTTTCTCCTCAATAGGGAAATATAAAGGTGAAGTGGCCGGGAGAGGGAAAAATGCCGGACAATGCCGCGGGATCCCCTGCTGGTCTATTAGTAAGAATTACGATCTTTACGCGACTGAATGAGAGGAGGACCCGGTAAAAGAGCATCAACAGCGGCAGTAACGGCAGTGGCGGTATCGTCCTCGTCGTCGTTGTCATCATCCTCCTCCTCCTCCTCCTCCTCCACGATTTTATTCAAAACAGTCTCCGCTATCGATCACGTATTGGATTTCCTAGTTTTCGTTTTCTGCTGCCGTGCGCGGAGCTTCTAATTCTTCTTCTCTTCTCCTTCTGCCTCTGCCTCTTCGATCACCTGTATATATATATATATATATATATATATATATCTGCCGTCCCGTCCTTTTTTCGGAACTGGTAGTGGGAGAGATGAATGGGTGATGATGAGGGGGGTGGGGGAGTTGCTTTTATGGGATTATATCGCTAAGTGCTGTGCTTAATGGCATTAGGAAAATTTCGAGACGCGCTTTTGCACTTTTCAAGTATGTGAGCACGTACGCTTATACTGTGCGAGTTGCGGCGGATAATTTCTCGACGTTTTTCTACTTCTTTTCTCTTCTTTTGCACGCGCCCGCGCTCGCACATATATCTTTTTCCTTCACTTTAAGATTTTGTTTTCGCATTTCTCCCTTTTTATGTTGCCTTTTGTTAATTATAAGCGAAGGCTGAATCGCCGCCGCCGTCGCTTAATGGATAAATTCAAATGGAACTTTCAAATGTGACTTTCATCATGTTGGCACAAATTATTCTTATAATAACGTTCTCTTGCTTTTCGTTTCTTTTTCATTTATTTGTTTTTTTTTCTTTTTGACAGCCCCCCTCACCCCTGAATTTAATTACGTTAAGTGTTTCGCAATTATAAATATTTACATAGTGCCGCGTATATTAATGAATTGTAGTCGATGCGTCGTTCGTATGTGAATCGGGCATGTAATGTCGACGCTGCTAATTTTTCTCACAAATATTTACACTCTCACATTACGAAACAAAGCAATCTTGGACGATGCGGGGAGGGGGACGGTAGGGATGCAGAATATTTCTCCCCGCGGACAAGATAAAATGAATCTTATCTGTATTGTATGAAGAAACTTTAACGGCGTGAGCAGACTATTTGTACTTGCTTAGAATTTCTTTACTCCGCCTTTAATAACAGAGTGCAGCATTATATACTATAATGTTACATTACATTCTTGAATGGCTTGGGAATTTTATGCACTCGATGGAATGCTTAAATTTTTTGGAATCACACTCGCACGATATTTCTTACATATATTTCTTCCCTCGACCCCCGGGCATAATCGCGCATTTAATGGCGTGTGTACGAAAAATCCTAGATCGTCGTTTAATATATTACATTTCTTTCTTTTGTTTTTTTTTTTGTTTTTTTTTTTTTTTTTTTTTTTTTTTTCTTTAATCATAGCAACCCACCACTACACTACTCGGCCCACTTAGCTATAAAGAAAGATTATGTTTAAGGAACATATCGCACGGATGTCTGGCCTCTTATTGAGAAAAACGTACACTGCAAAGATAAAACATATTGAGCTTTTCCCATATGTATCCACTCCAGCTAAAACAGCCAGCGTTGCATGTGCTTTAAGCAGAGGCGAGCTTGAAATAGAATTCACTCCCACTGCCTCTAGTCGATTCTCCAGGGTGAGAGACATAACCGTTCCTTACATTCATTAACGCTTTAGGCGACATTAACAGTCGCTGCTAAAGAGAACGGCCCCTTTGAATAATCCCTCCTCCCAACTCCCCGGCCCTCACGCTCACGCGGTATATCGCATCACCTTTCTCTGGCCGCATGCGCTACCCCTTACCTAATCGGGCCGCTAACGATTAACGACGAATCGCCTCCCTTACGACTACCCAGCTACGCATCTCGACCCCGAGGAGCCCATGTAAAGTCGCGCGGAAGCTCCTCACCTCCCCACGCTCAAGCGACGCTTCTCTTAACCAGCGACTCACGCCGCCGTTTCCGCTTCTCGCAGGGTGTTTGTTGGACAGCGCGGCACCACGGGGACCACCCGATGTGCCACCCCGTAATCCGACAATGAGCAGGCTGAACGGAAGGTTGCCCGGAAGCCACGCGGCCAGCGATCACGAGAGAGATCCCGACTTGGAGCCCTCCTGCCTCGTACGCACCCCGTCCGGTAACTTCTACAACATACCCAGTGAGTATTTACAAATTGTAATTATTGTGTTGTTTTGTTACCTTGACGTCGACTATCGGGAAAATAATTTGACACTCGGCCAAAGTCATCGTCTTTCTCGTTCCTGCGTTTAGACAGGTCGCGACTGTGTGCCTTTAATCTCGCACGAGCCTTACCGCACAAATTACATTAAAGACGCTACTCCGCGCTCCTCTAATTACACCTCCTTCCTCTCACCCGATAAAGAGCCGATAAAGAGTTTTATATACGCGACGGCGATCTTATGGAAGTGTGGAAGTGTGCTCCCTCTCGATAATGAAACGAGATTCGAGCCTGTTTCTTTTCTTTATTATTCCTGTCCGTTGCCGCCACCGTCTTCCCCCTCCACCATCCTCCGTCACCCTCACCGCCATCGGTCCGCCCCGTTCTCCCCATCCGCCGCCATCACCAACCACTTTTCTTCAACGAACTCGAATACCGCTGCCGGATTACGAGCTACATTAGCCGATAGTCAAGCGGGCTTTCCGTTAAAATGTCGATTGACTTTCAAAGTAGATGCGCACGATGACACGGCTCTTAAGATTAACATCTTCGATCAAACGATCGATAACTACAACGAGTAAACGCTGAAAACCAATACAAAAAATATATAACGAATGCGAGCCCGTCGTCAAAATAATGATAGTAATAATACGGCGATCACAACACCAGCAACAAACAACAACAACAACAACAACAACAACAACAACAATAACAACAACAACAGCAACAACAACAACAACAACAATTGCATGAACAACAACATAACAGCATAACGGCTACAATTGCAATAATAGTAAATGGATGGCTAATGTAAATGGGCGGTTAGGCGAATGCGCGTGAACTATAAAGAATGAGGTAATAATATCAAAAGCATTTAGATATTTTTAATAATCGAAAAATCAATCGGATAAATAACCAAACACAGATGATACGATAATGGCTTATAAGTCAAATAATAATGGCTCGGAATCTATGCTGTTCACAAATAAATAAATAAAAAAGTTAGAGGGAGAACGAAGGAAAAAGAATAACAACAAGCGTTAGATATGATCCTGATGTGATTGTTGAAGTAAGGGAAAAGTGGATGAGAAAGGGGGAGGGAAATTTATCGCAGATGTCGTTCCCCCGATTGTAGGAAACCGCGCAACGAATTGCCCAAAGGATCTGGATTGCCTATCGCGAAAAACGCGCTCTGCCGTGGGAAAAGGCGTTTACTTTATTGTTATTCAAATGTCACTCGGCCCAAGTGACGCTCGAGCGCGCTCCTCCCGCCATTTTCACTGATGTAATTGGACGATTGGCCCCGAGGGAAGAAAAATCTCGCCGCGAAACTTGCGAGCACACGCACGCGGAAAAATGAAAATTCCCCGCTTGTTTTAGGGACATTATGGGACGAGCGGCGGTGCGCCAGAATCTGGGAAACGGTATAGGGAGTGGGACTGGCTGCGGGGGCGGGGGAAGCCTATTTAAATGCAAGTCCAAAGCCACGTTCCGATTGTTTTGCTAATGAGAACCTCTATCGCTCGCTCGCTCGCTCTCGGCTCTTCGGATTTTGTTTAGTCAGCTGTCTTGCACGAAGAAGAAGCCGAGGCTCCGTATAATCTCCGGCGTTGATCTTAATTGAAATCACAGTTTTCGCCGCTCTATGTGTGCTGCGGAGCCAAGATTTTTCAAGCGCGTACCGCGAAATTCTATTTTTCTACCATCCCGGATCGCCCACATTCCCATTGTTCGTCCAAGATCGCAATTCATTAATCATATCGCCCAACCGAATTGAAGCATAAAGGTCAATGTGCTTGAGCATTGTGTAGAGGTACTCGTAACATCGCCATTTACTTAAAATTTCCCACTTATAATCCGCAACGTTAATGTCACAAATTTCTAACCCCGAGTTTCTGGCATTCGCTATTTAACCAACTTCCATTTATCGCGTTTCCTTAAAGTTTCCCCTCCAAGTCGTCCCTCCCACCCACGAAAGAGCTCACGTCTAAATAACAACAAAGCCATTACTATATGAGAAGTCTATCGTTTGCGAAGAAAGTTTTATAGAACTCAAGTTTATCAGTGGCCTCGTTGTGCAATGGGGTATCGACTAGGGTTGCTCAGTTGAATGAGATTACCTGATCTACGATCAGGTTGCTTGTCCTATTAAAACTGGTCTTTAGGATTTTTGGATTTTTCGCTCCTCTAATTAACGTCCGCGAAACTTTGTAAGAAGAAAGAATTACGACTCGTCCCTGAAATTGTAGAGGCAGGAAAAATTGCGACTGTCGATTAAATATAATTCGACGAGAGCGCCGGTAAATTCATTTTTTCCAAAAAGTATTCGCATGATAATTTATCATACTAACGAAATATTTCATTCCATATAACCACTGACATGGAATTCAATGAAGAATTAATGGGGAAAAAAAGTTAATATTGAGAAGACCTTTGGATTAACATCTGGACGTCCATCTGAAAATCACATTTTAAAAAACTATTCTTCACAATCGGCTTCCAGCCTAATGATTCCATTAGCACAAATTGACCATAAAATTCGTGGTGATTAAACTGCGGCATTGGCCACAAAAGTCCCAGCGAAAATAATTAGCCCCTGGCTTTCCCAAAACGAATTCTTCAATGAGCCTCAATGACGCTGTGTGCCCTCGGCCTCGCAAATCCATAGCTGCTCTAAGTACTGTTTTTTGCAAAAATCATATCCCCCCCTCCCTCCCTCCCTCCCTCGCTCCCTCGCTCCCTCGCTCCCTTTTAAATGACGGAGTCCAATACTGCCGACCTAATGGCAATGATTGGCCGTCTCGGCAAATTAACCGCGATCCTCTGCACTTTTGGGCCCGGGGAGGGGTAGCGAGGGTTTAAAAAAGGACGAAGTAAGGATTGGGGGCTGATTCTCGATGCCCACGCGCCTCTCCTCCTGACGCGACGCTTTGACGAGGGTAGGTTGTAATCAGGACGGCAAAAGAAGAGAGACAGACAGAGTGCGCGGGAGGAGTGACGCAGCCGGGCCCTGATGAGCGATGGGGAGGCTCGAGCGACGGCGGAGGGGCTTGGGGAGGAGGAGGATGACGAAGTCGAGGAAACTCCTTGTATCAACGTATCCAAACGGATGCGGATGTACATCGCAGCTGACCTTCTTTATTATGCAGTTGGATGGATAACTGGTTTTTCGTTTGACTGTTTGATCATTATCGGTTTTACTTCACTTGTTGATTCCTTCCTTCTTCACGTTGACGCGTTGATGTCCCATCTGTTCGAGAAAGGCTGCGCTTGTCAGTGAGCATTAATATTAAAAAATATTCTTCCTTCCATATTCAAAAGGTTGGAAAATACGTATAATTCGCTTATAGACGGACATTGTAAGATAAGTATAACAAACTTTCTCCTCAATGTCGTAAAACTTGCGTCTAATTCTTTCGTTGATCAGTTGAGTTTGTACTTTTTTTTGATAAAAGTAAGTTGATATTTTAATATTTTAAAAAAAAAAAAAAAAAAAAAAAAAAAAAAAAATTGATGATTAGAAAGTAGCACTGATTGATGCGGCTTTGCTTAAATTGTTTCGTAAGCAGAACAGTGTACGGTGATAATAATTAATAGCTTGAGAGATTATGGTTCAGTATGGACATAATGATGTGTCGTTCGTGGGTGCATTATACGATAGGAAAATAGAAGAAGATGAAAAAGAATTATGAAATAAGAAGGTCTGTAAATCTCGATGTAAGATTAAACAGCACACAAATCTGAAAGCTGTTGAGTAAAGTAAAATTGAAACGTAATCGGTAATCGGTCAATAGTAGAAAGACACTTCAAATAACGAGGGAAATAACGCCGGCAGATAAATACGAAAACCCTATGATAATCGAAGAAAAGGAAAAGCAGACCATCCTTCTCAAATATCCCTATCGTTGAAATTGGTCGTCGCTCGTTTTCCTTCTCCGCGCCTCAATTGCGAGAAAATACAACCAAGACATTATCTTATCTCGGGTACGGATGCCTGGGTTCTCCGTTTCGGTCGCAGCTATCGATAAGGATAAGTTTTCGGAAAAATCAAGTGGACTTTCTATTTTTCCCTACCGCGCATGCCCCAAGAAGTAGTTGCTTCGTAAATATTTGTTCGGGAGCTTACGCAGACTTTTATCTTATCGCCGATTTTTTAAGGGAAGCCGAAGTAAACAACATCTTTTCCCGTGGCGCAATGTATTAAGATCTTACGCACAGTAAATATACGTATGAACACGCATATCCGCTTAAATGGTGCGGGGGGGGGGATGGTTATTTGTTTATTTTTCAAAAATGTTGAAACAATAGAAGGTCCTTTTTACGATGGAACGAGGAATCTGGAATAGCTGACTTTTTTTTATCCATAAATTTGCCTTTTTTTTTTTTTCAATTAACATCAATGATATTTATACGCTTTAATAATATTCAAATGTATTTAGATAAATAAATGAAGCGTAAACCAATACTAGTTTCATGTCAAGTGATCGGGAACGTTTTAGTATCATATTATGATGGGCCAAGTTTCGTTATGTAAATGAAAAAAAAAAAAAATATATATATATATATACATAGTTTATAATGTGATACTTTTACGAGATGATAAATATGTGTGGTTTATTGTAAACGTTATCCTCGCAAATAATCCTGGAATATCGACTTTACGCGAAACTAAAATAAAATACGCATTTCACTCGTCTAATTAATCGGATATTTCAATTATAATCAAAGAGATGTCTTAAAAATATCTTTCAAATTTTTAAAAGCCAAAAAAAAGCAATATTGTTTCCAATTCAAGCAGATGCGCTTATTGCGGACTTCAATGTTCTTGTTTATGAACGAAAATGAAAGAGAGAGAGAGAGAGAAATTTAGTATCAATTCCCGTCCAACGAACTTCCTGCTTCAGCTACGAAACAAAAACTAGTCGCAATAGTCAATAAACTTCTCGGTTCTCTCTCTCTCTCTCTCTCTCTCTCTCTCTCTCTCTCTCTCTCTCTCTCTCTCCAGGATAAAATGAGTGGCGGTCGCGATGGCTCCAGGTAGACCGCGGTAGGTCAGGAGGAGAAGGAGAATGAAGAGGGAGCAAGCAGAGAATGATAGAGAGAGAGAGAGAGGGAGAGGAAGATGCAGCCTTAAACTTTCATTGGATTCCCCCTTTTGCAGCTCGACGCAGAAAAAGCTCGACTCTCACGCGGATCCTCGCCATCTCTCTCGCTCGCGCGTCTCCTAACGAACTATTCCCAATGCCGCGGAGGCCGTAAATTTTCTCCCTGAAATATTAATGAAAAAAATGAGCCCTCCGCTCGGCGGCAATACCGCTCGCAAAAAATCAATTCGCGTCATATCGCGAGACAGACTCGAGCTACGCTTAAGCGAGACTCGGCAAAAAGTCGAAGGTCTCGAGCGCGAAACGACCGGCAGCGGCTGAATAAAATTGCAATCTTCTGGGCGCCGGGACCAGCTTTAACAGTCGCGCGCACTATGGTCACGAGGCTGGGAGATGAGAGGGCTAGACGTTCGTCTTGCGTTTATAGGAATAAATTTGTAAATTTTACGCGCGAGTTGCCGAGGTCGGTCGTCGCGCTCCTCTCATCCCGCGCCGTACCCGGGAAATTCCGCGTGTTTATCCTTTATGAGTCGAGATGAACATTCCGGCTTCAATCTAAAAGTGCACGTGCACTAGCTTCCAAAGATTTATTCCCGAGGTCTCTCCCCTCGCTCCCAGCCCATCCCAAACTCCTCCGACTCTCCAAATACTTTAACGCCTTTAGAGAATGAATGAATGTCAAGTTTTATTGGTCATAGTCCATGCCGCATCTTGCGAGTCGCGCCTTTCAAAGTCCAAAGTATCTCTCAACTTTCCCTCGTTCCAATGGCAAATAACGACCTGTAAATTAAGACTGGTCGCGGCGAATTAGTATGGGCGACACGTTGCGGGCACACAGACGACGGGCAATCGCTCCTCTCCCTCCCAGCTGCCCCATTGGCCAAAAAAAAAAAAAAATATATATATATATATATATATATATATATATGAATACGATGGGAGGAAACGATGGTGCGAAACGATTATAGTTCGACGTAATACGCTGAGAACGACGACGACGGCCGAAGAAGCGGAATCTTGGCTTGGGGAGGGGGGACTCGACTGATTTATCAATGACATCGGCCTGTGATGACGCGCGCACCTCCAAGGCTGGGACCGGCATCGATAGGCCTCGAGCTCGTTTCACCGAGAGTCCATAGACCCTCTTCGTTTCCTCATTATCGGCAGCCTAGCTTATGCAACGCTGATTAGACCAGCTACAGTTCCGCATCGCTTAAGTGCCAGGAATTTCGGCGAACGATGCACGTTATCGCGCGACACTTGCGATACCGGACAAACCTCGGTCCAACCCCACCCCCACACACTGCACTTTATCACGACCACTGGACACCATTATCACCGCGCACCATCAAGACATCGCGCGTTTTAACTTACCTCGGGATGAAACACCCGAATGAAGCCCCCCTCCCCCCTCCCCACCCCTGGCCATCGTGTGTGCTAAGGATTTCCTGTAGCTTGATTATATTAATTACGCGATTATCTTTAACGAAGCTGAGACTCGTCCGTCGAGTGCCGATAATAATAATCTCTTAATAAGTCGCTCGTTCGGGTCCTCCTCCTCCTCCCCCTACTCCTACTAAAGCTATAATCATTGGATTCACCACCGGACCCTCACTCCGGGCTCCGGATAAACATAAGCACCAAACGCACATTCGTCCCAAGTTGAACGGGCGAGGCATTGATTGGGCATGTCTCTCGCTACACTCTCCTATCATGTCAAAGTACTCCAAAAGGTGTCTGAAATGAGGAGGCTCGTCGACGAAGAAGCGTAACCGCAGGAAGCGAACAGTAGTCGTCGACTTTATCGGCGACTATTGTTTATTGTCAAGCAGGATCGACGACGCGCCCCCGTCAGGCCTCTACGTTCATTCGGCCTTTAAATCGCTCGAGATTCCGCTCGACAACCGCCATTAAAAATCCAGCCTCGCAGGCGTCTGCTGGTGAGCGCGGGCGGAAGAATGACGAGGGAGGGGGCGATGGGCGGTGAAGCGGCCAAAAAGGCCGAAAAATCCTAAGCAGGCCGGGCGCGAGAATTCACGAGCAGACTCGCGAGCCGCATAATCGTCGCAATCATCGAGATTCGGTCCGGGGGCACGGAGGGGGTGTACGAAACCGTCAATTACCCGGCAGGTACTAGAGGCCGACCGGGCTCTCGCTTCCCACGCCCGCTCGTGTCCGTTTCGTTCCCTCCGCTCCGAGGCTAATTCGCAATGGGAATTGCGCTCCCCTTGCCTCTCCAACTTGTAGGCTCCCTCGCTCTCTCTCTCTCTCTCTCTCTCTCTCTCTCTCTCTCTCCTCTTTATTTCTCGAGCGTGTGCGTGTGAGCGCGTGTGCGTTTACGGGCCGAACCGAATCGCGCGGAACGTATTTGCGACTCTTATCATTCTTCTCTTATGGGACCGTTCGCGCCTTGCGGCCCGACTTGTTATTCTCGGCCGCGGTAAAAACAATGGCTGCCCGTGTGCCATCTGGGACCGACGGGCTTTCGCAAGCTCTGCTCTTCGGGGCCGCTCGATTAGAGCGTCGAAAGCTATCACTCGTCAACGCTAACTTTCATCGCCGCGTTTTTCCTGTGCCTCGCTCGAATCACGTGGGTACCTCTTATCTGGACACAGCCGCGAGGGGTTCGTCTTGTTTTCCCGCTTTTCCTGGTTTTGTTTTTTCTGTTTTGACTGTTTTGACGCCTCTATGGGGTGGTCTCTTTCATCTTGCGGCGGAATTCAAAGGTGGAAAAAGAGCGCCGCGACGAGTCCTACACTTATCGATTCCACGGCACTTTTCCGCGCGCGTTACCGGTCCCCTCCTTTATTTTCCCTCCGCTTCCTGTTCGCGCCGCCCAGCCGAGAAAATGCACGTAACGACGCACGCCACCTACCGCGCTCGCCTTCACGGTGGCGCAATTAACGAGACCGACGCTGCTGCTCATTTTGCTGCTGACGCTGTCGCGGGTCGCGGGCTTCGTATCTTCTGGTCCCTTGGCTCACGTCATTCTAATCATTTCGGGAAACAGTGACTCTATTGATTTTAACGCTCGGCATCTTTGAACGTTTGACGTTCATTTCATCTGGCGCGGAACTTTCGCCGGAATTCTTGGCCTACGGCCATTAATACGATGTGCCTCGCGACCGTTGAAACGTTAGTAGGAGAAATAAGAGTAAGTGATATTAGAGAGGCTGTTCGCATGGATAATTATAAGGAATGAGAAGAGAGATCATTCGTGTCGGTTGTTGTTGGTCGATGTACAAATAATTATTTGAATTTGTCGATGACTTTTGAGATAAAAAAGAGTGTGAGAGAGAGAGAGAGAGAGAGAGAGAGATAAAGAGAATGAGAAAGAGAGGAAGTTTTAACTTCCTCTTCGAATGCAGAGGCAAAGCTTACATTAATCGAAGACGTAAACATATTTTCGGTCACTCGTTATTATCTTGGCATTACGCGATACCGCTACGCTCCTGTAACATTAGACAGTGTCTGTTTATGTATAACACGTTTAGTGTATTAAATATAACGAGGTACTCGTCTTACAGGAACGACTAAAAATTTATATTTATAAGCCACTGCTCATTTAAATAGAAAAATATAGTGCGAGCGGTTATAGGAACAAAACGGCGGCCGACTGGGCGGATTGCGCGTCGTGGGGATGGTAAGGTAACCAGTCCTTGTAAGGAAAAAAGAAGAAGAAGCGAGTGCGAGTACGTAGACTCGGTTGAGTGCACAGCCATACGGTACTAAAAAGCGCATACACTCACACGCGCGCATGCGCAAACGTGTACATGTGCCCTTAATATATTTCACCCTCCATTGTAATTAATTTAAAAGTGACTCCGCCTTTCGCTCGCCTTACACGTACAAAAAGGGGCTGTGTGAGAGGGTGTAGTGGTATGTGGCCAGCGCGATTCCCCGAAAGAACGAGCAGCAGCAGGCAGACGAAGGCCAAGTTATACTCCTCCCTCGGCAGAAGAAGTGGTCCGATTTCGTTTTGATGGATTTCGCTATATGCGAGATTTAACGGGGCGAAATACGCCGAGGCGAATGATAAAAATTGTAACGATCAAACTAGCCGCTGATAAATCACTATTCCCATTTGCGGCTGCTTCGGCTATTTCGTTACCACCCGAATTGATTCTTCCCCAAAAGCGAAAAAGCGAATTAAATCGTCGCGCATCTATTTATAAACAGCCATGTGAATTTTAATCCTTTATTTTTTTAAAGCAACCCATTGCCGGAAAAACTAATGAACAAGGGCAAATGAACCTCTGAAAGCTTTAATCTTATCTTATTTCGATATGCATTACTATTACTACCACCACCATCACCTCCGCCACTACTACTACTACTACTACTACTATTACTACAACTTATTATAAAATAACCTAGCTTTTTAAAGTGGTAAATATAAATCAGTTTTCCTTATTGCATTTTTTTTTCTGTTACAGAAAAACCGAAGAATGATTACAACAATAAGAATCAATCGACGGGTAACAGTCCAATAAAAGTCGAATTACAGAACAACATGGACAGGTAAATATTGCTTTATGCATTTAATATTTATTCCTTCCGTCGGGGCCTTCGTAAAAAAAAAAACAAAAAAACAAAACGAAACAAAACAAAACAAAGTAGAACAAAAATACCTCTCTTACGCAAATGAAACTTCGGCGCATGCATTACAAACGAGGAGAACGAGTATTTCGGGAAAAGAAAAAAGAAAGGAAATGAAGGAAGGTAGTCTTTAAATTATTATGGACGCCTTCGTCCCACCTCCGTATAAGTATAAATCCTACTGAGAGACAACACACAACAGTGCTAGAATCATTTTTTTTTTCACTCCAACACTCATCTTTCTCATTCATGCGCTTTTTCTATGCTCGCAGCAGTTTGTCTTATATCGTCCTCGTCATATGCAGTCCTCGAGTTAAAAGGTGACAAATTGTTTAAAAAGAACCGTTGTCGCTATTATTGCTGGGCTGCATAAAATATGAATGTCAAATTCAATAGTTCATGTATAGAAAGTAAAAACAAAATAAATAAAATTCCCTCCGAATTTCGTAAAAAGTGTGAGAGCATCTGGGGATGGGTAATAAGCATTTAATGACTTTTACTCCCGTAAAATATTTCGATCATTTGTCAATCAGTTAGAGTAATCGTCAAACGCAATTGAAAACAATAATTGAATATTGCTTTACAATGCAAGTAGAGCCTCGTAATAATAGGATATAATTTGTCCTTACGAGAGTAATGAACTTTTATTTAGTTGTTCATTTGTACAAAAGCATACATATGCATAAGGGGAGGATGCCCGCACACCTATATACACCAATGCCCGTGTGTTGTGTATATATAATATATATCAGGGTAATAAAATATAAGACTAGGATTTCAGCACCTTGGCAATAACAATGTACAAGAAGACGCCAAAATCTCGGAATCTTTTAGCGAGTTATTTATGAAATTTCATCATTCACACGGCCAGCCTCCATTCATACGGTACAGCGACGTTAAATAAACGAGTAAAAGAAATCGTGGTAGCAGTCACGACTGTGCGTCTTATTTATTTCATTGGGAACAACAAGAACGCGCGATCGATGCACGTTATGGTGGAAGCGTCGGTAGAGGAGGCCAGTGCCCGTGCGTTTAAGGAGGAAACTAGGAGGAGTCCGAGGCTACCGTCCTTTTAAAAGAAAACGGAACAAAAGAGGCGGCGACTCGAGTTCTCGGAGGCGCTACCGAGGACTTTCCACGACCGATTTTTACCATTTTTCGACTTCTCATCCGTAAATGTGCGTTTCATTCATTGTCACGAGGATATTGAGAGCAATGGATCGTCGTCGTCGTTGGCTGCAGGATGATTCATGGTGCGCCGCGGGAAGGTCTGCTGCTGCTTTTTCCTCGATGCCGTTTTTCGCGCGAGAGTTGAATTTTCGCCAGCGTTTCAATCACTCTTCCTCTTCTCTTTGACGCTTCTTGTTTTTTGTTTTCCCTTTTTTTTCTCTCCGTCTCTCTCTCTCTCTCTCTCTCTCTCTCTCTATATATATATATATATATATATATATATCTCTCTTTCTTTACGTCTCGAGCGACTTGGCGTTAAAGAGAGCGTCGAGTGCGTAAACATCGAGATTGCACGAGTCGCCGCGGCTCATCCAATGGAAATTGTCAATGGAAATGGTCAAATACTTTTCACTGAATGAGATGATTCTTCTTTGCATGGAGAAAAGATCAAGGTGTCACGAGAAATGTGTATGAGGCTATAAAGACCTGTTTTTCCATTTCTATTTTTTCTCTCTCTCTTTTTTTTTTTTTTTTTTTTTTTTTTTTTTTTTTCGTACCAACTGACGCGTGGGAATTCAATTGGTTAGATGTTTGTATGTGAAATAAAGTAATTATTTCCTTTTCCTCGGTAAAGCTCTTTTAGCAGATAGTGGGTTGAAAATTTGGGTTGGTAATATGGAATTGTTGCGCATTCAAAAAAGTCAGAGCATCATGAGCTTGTTCTCTCGAAATTTCCAGGTCGATTATAATTGACAGCTTACATCGCTATTATGCAATAATTAATTCGCGCGAGGATCATTAGACTCTAAGTAAGTTTCCATGGTCATTTAAGCGATGTTACATTTATTTTGACCGTCGATGCTGAGAACGTGAAATAATATTCACAGCTAATGTTTAGGAGAACAGATTTAGTGGCCTTTGACCTATGTTGTGACTGTGTAGCTTTATTAGATAATCGTAGGAATTATTTATGACATTGGTTCATTGGCTCAATCCCGCGCCTAATATGCGGTAATAGAGTAAAGTTATTGTTACTGACTCATTGGTATGATTTTGTACTAACGGATGATTCATAAGCCCTCTTTCGGTAGCCAATTCGGCACGCAATTTCTTTTTTCATTTTTTACTTCTCGAAATATATTAGTTAAATCAAATGGACCGGTCATATTCTTAATACTTTAAATTGAGAAAAAGCTGGTCGATAAATAATGTAATTTCAACTATATGTCGCGTGGCCTCTACTGATAATAAATTGTGGCTGAATTTATTCATTTTCTGATTTTTCCTACTGATTTTAACTTAAAACTTCTCGCTACTTTTGACTCCATCAACGATTATTTATTTTAATTTATTTTTTTTTTTTTTTTTTTTTTTTTTTTTTTTTTTTTGTAAAGAAAAATTCACTTAAACTGGCGTTTAACAGATTGGCCGATAGGTTTCTAAAAACATTCCAAGATAATTAATAATCAACCATAATTTACGCCAGGCTCATCTAACGGCAAAAGAAGATGAATGTTTATAAAGTGTACGGTCCAAGCAACTTAATAGGCATTCTCACAACGTCTTTATTATACCATCGTTTATCACGCTTTCCAATGTCGCAAACATAAATAGAATCAGCATTAATGTTGAAAATGCATCCAAAATGGAAAGGGAAGTTAAAGCACAGGACGTTTGGCAGGATCGCCAGAACATATCCGAAATTTCTATACGATTGGACTTTAACCGGACTAAGAGAGAAACAAAAAAGGCAAAGAGGGCAAAGATAGGCTCGGGAACGAAAATTAATCGCGATCGATCAGGCATGCAGGGCCGCCTCTTTAAGTGAAGCATGGGATATCCGAAGCGTGCAAGGGAAACAACCATGGTATTTCGTCCGAGGGGCAAAAGATTGAGGGAAA